TAATTATTTATGCATCTGTCTTCCTGCTAATACTCCTCAATTTCAATCTTTAGAAGTTTCAGATTAATCTACATAGATTACACTTTAAATTTGACGAAACTCTTGCCCTTACATCACTTGCGTGTAGCACACTTTTCAGAGTTGCAGCAAGTAAGTATGTGTGTGTGTACGTGTGTGTGTGTGTGGTGAAAAAAGCAACAAATGTTTCTCACTCAACTATGAACGACGTTTAAGCTGCTTGAAAACAACTCGCTCTGTGGCTGTGGCAAAGCAAACTTAAAGTGTGGCTGGACCCCACCCCCCAAAAAAAAGGGGGAACTGTAACAGGAAAGTGGGCGTGTCGTTGAGGATAGAGGCAGCATTTAACGAACGCAAAATGTCGACGAATGGCCGTGGGCCCTGAGCAAAGTGTATACGCAACAGAAATCAGCACGGCACGGACATGTTTGCATGCATAAATAGCAAAGGACATGGGCAAAGGACGCACCATATACGACTCTGTGCGTGTGTGTGTGTGTGTGTGTATGAAGTTCTAAGCACACTTACACAGGCGCAGCGACAGCAACTACAACAACAACAAGTTATGGTTATTAATTTTGCGTATGCAGCAGGCAGCTGGCAGGAGGCAGCAGCAGGCAGGAAGGACGAGCTTAAGCTGCCGTCCATGTCGTAGCAGGACATGGGCGACTGCTGCAATCCGCTTTGCAAAGTGTTGGTCACAGGATTTACTACGCAAGCAACAGAGCAAAGTGTCTGATTTATGTGTGTGAGTGTGTTTGTGTGTCTGTGTGTGTGAGCCCTAAAAGGCAGCCGCAATATTTTAGCTGTTGGCCAAGTGGATATATGTATGTAGGTATGTATGTATATAAGAGAATGTGCCAAGCGCCCGTTTCATGCTAAATTATTTTATCTAACAAGTATACGACATGTTGCCGCATGTTGTTTATGGCCCCACACTCACCGTCAAATTGTTATCCGATAGGTCCAAGTGCTTGAGCGAGATGAGACCCTCGAAGGCGCCCACATCCAGTTCGCTCATCACATTGCCCCGCACGCTGAGGGCGAGCAGCTCCTTGAGGCCCTCGAAGCTATCGTTGCGCACAAATTCCACCAGATTATCGGACATGTCCAGGCTCTTGAGCGCATGCAGATGCCACAGATTGCTGGCCGGCACATCCAATAGCCGATTGTTGCGAAACACGAGCACCTCCAGCGACATCATGCCCTTGAAGCAGTTATCCTCCAGGCTCACAATATTGTTGTTGGTCAGGTCGAGCTCCACCAGCGCCGCCAGATCGCCCAGCGCCGTCGGATGCACGGTCTCGATGCGATTGTAGCTGAGATCCAGCAGCAGCAGATTGGTCAGGCCCTTGAAGGCATGCTTATGCAGTGCACTGACCAGATTCCTGCTCAGATTGAGGGTGCGCAGCTCCGTCTGGTATTCGAAATTCTTGGAGCCCAGCGTTTCGATGATGTTCTGCGAGAGATCCAGCACCTCCAGTTTCATGTAGAAGGGCAGCGTGAATTCCAGATTACGTATGCGATTCAGTGTTAGATTTATGTACTTTGTTTCCGGATTGAGCTGAATGGGCACATCCTCCAGTGCGGCGTCCACGCACAGGGCGCGACTGTTTGCATCGCCGCCCAGGCACTGACACTTTGAGGGGCAGAAGGCATCGATGCGGCCAGGTAACAGCAGCAGCAGCAGCAGGAACAGGAGCTGGAGCAGGGGCAGAGTTGCCGTAGTGCGACTGCCCAGAGATGGAGGCTTGCTGTCCTGTCGCCACTTTGTGTGTGAGTTAAATTTGTTGCAGTTGTTGTTGTTGTACCTGTTCCTGTTGCTGTTGTTGTTGTTGTTGTGTGTGTCGGTTTCCATTTTGTGGACTGTTCGATTGCGCCTTGTTGTTGTTGCTGTTGTTGTCTCGCTTCTAGTTGCTGCTGTAGATGCTGCTGTTGCTTGAGGTGGAGAATCACCAGTTATTGGACGTCATGGCTGACACAGAGTGCTG